CCTGCCCATCTGATTTATCATGGTTCCTGGGCACCCGTGTATGCCTAACCCCCAATCTGAGGCTGGGCAGTTCACAGGCCCCTGTTATAGAGCATCTCTCTCAGAAATGTTGCAAACTCTCACAAACAACTTTTTGTATGCAGGGGAGAGGCCACAGCTGGCAGCCAGCATGCAGCTTCAGGGTCACTGCTGCCCATTCCTGGGTCCCTATGGATGTGCCAGCTCTATAGAAGGAGGACCCAGAACAACACTCTCCTCCTGGACGTGCTGGTGATGGCTGCAGAGGCCTGTCTGGCAGATGTGCACATCTGGTGGGTAGAGGATGTCACCTGCAAGGATGCATGGGACTGGGAGGACTGAGTATTCCGGGTGCATCTCCTGGCTTTGGAGTGCAAGTGTGTGGAGGTCCTGCGGGAGCAGGGTGCACTCTTGGCCAGGGCATTGGAGGCCATGGAGGAGGACCACCAGGTGCTGGACACTGTCCTGGCTCTTGCAGTTGCTTTCATGCTGCCTGCTGCCCTGCTCCCAACTGTAGTCCCATCTGGCCTCTGGCAGCTGCTCACCACCTAGCAATAGGACCCCTGAGCCTTGGTGGAGGTCCAGCACCACCTCCATGGGTCAGGAGACCCTGCCCTGGCCCCCACCTGGGTCCTCTGCCAGCCCGCCACCCCCACCTGGCCCAGCCCTGCTGCTCGCACCAACCCCACATGGGCATGTAGCCAAAACTGCCTCTAATGGGCCTGAGACTATACGCTAGCTCTGCTGGCCCTAGGCACTGGCTGCAGGAAGGGAAGCTGCCCATGCCAGGGGACCAGCAGCCACTGTTATGCCCGAGCTTGCCCCCCACCCATGGGCCTCGCCGCAGTGTGTGCACCCATGGGGGAGCAACCAGAGGCCAGGGTTCAGGCTGCCTGTCCCCAGGCTCCACTCCTGAGAGCACCCCACCCCACAGCCACCCACGCAAATGGAGCTGAGCAGGGAACAAGCTTCCCAGCATGTTCCCCACCTAGCTCTATGCTCACAGAGCTGAGCTGGGTACAGGCTCCCCAGCCTCTGCCCAACAATCATGGGGTGGGGGCTGGGTACTGTCCTGGTCAGGGTAGGTCCCAGTCCTCCTGCCCCAGTCCACTAATGGGGCAGCCAGCAGCAAGCTAGCTGCCCCACCAGTGAATCAGGGTAGGGAGCTGGGACCTGCTTCTCCCTTGCAGCTCTTTCCAACTTCCCTGATCGGGGAGGCAGGGCCAGGAGCTCTCTGCTGCTGGGGCAGGGGGACATTGTCTCCGACCCAGCAGGAGGTAGCCCCCAGAGGCAGGGTGTAATGTCCCAGCCCCAGACAGCTGTCTCCTGGCTTTGTGCTGCCTGCCAGCCCCTGAGCTAGCACCCAGGAGGAGTCAAGAGCTCCACCTGGTGGCACCAGGGGCCCATTGCAGGGCCCCATGAAGTGGGAACAGTTTGCTGTCATTAGCAACAAATCTGCTCCTGCTTTCCTGCATGTGTACATGCCTGTTCAGGAGCATTTACTCGTGAGTAAACTGATCCTTGATCAAATGCACATGTAGACACACCCAGTGTGTGATAACATCTGGCAAATGCTATCTTTTTGAATTATTATAGTAATTAGGCCTTACAAGATCACTGTCAGGTATGTAAGGATCACAGGATGCATCTACATGAGATGTTTACTGCACAGTAGACTAATCAGCTGCACAGTAAAGGTCATGTGTCTATATGGGCACCCCTATTAGGCTAGAGTAAACTAATGAACTGCAGCAGTAGTTGTAATACCTGTGAAAACAATTACTATCATGCTGCAGAGATTTTTATTCTGCAGGGGCACACGTGTAGACACTGCCTGGCTGGCTGGAGCATGCGGGTGCTTCAGTGTGGGCACTGCCTGCTGGCTAACCCTGCACTGGAGCACCCTTGTGCCCCAGCCAGCCCCTCTACAGCATGGTGAGCTGGGGGGAAGCAGACCTGGGATGGCAGCTGACTCCACGGTCCCCCTGCCAGCTGGGGCTGCTCCAATCAGCTCAATATATTGTGGTTTCAGGCACATATGAAGACGCAGAGCCCGGGAGCAATAAGCTCCAGAGTTTATTCATGTACATTAATTGCATGTGTACATGCACCCACACAGAGGTAAACAGAAGCAAGATGGAGTTAAACAATTCAATCAAGGTCACAAAACAAATCAGTAACAGAACTGAGAATTAAATGTACCAAGTTCTAATATCCTATGAAAATCACACTTTTAAATATACAAGGGGAAGAAGAAAGAGAGAAAGAAGCTTCAGACACTAGGTATCTAGCTATGCATAAAGCAGCAGTAAGAAAGAACAGAGCTAACTAAACAAGACAAGATTTTCTGAGGGGTCTTGGGCCAAGTTCTTCTCTTACATTCATGACACTGTGGAGTAGTTTCAAGGGAGTTTTAGTTGTAACTGGTATCACAAATAAATTTGCATATCTAGAGAGGCATAAATCTGTGTGAGAGAAACTTGTGAACAGAGCAAGTGTTTGCTATCTGAACTTTCCCCAGCACTTCCTGGCATGAGGTGACAAATCTCAATATCCATGCTGTGCAAAAGCTGCTAGGCTTGTTACAGGGATTGGGCCCAAATAAGCAATTTTATCTTCAAGATCTGAAGCCCCACAAGAAACTTGAGGTCAAGGCAGGCTAAGTGACAAAGAAAAGCTATTCTGTCGGAGTACTTGCAATGCATTAGTAGGAGTGTTGCCAGCTGATTGAGGGAAGTAATTATTCCTTTCTATTTGGCACTGATGAGGCCACATCTGGAGTACTGTGTCCAGTTTTGGATCCCCCACCACAGACAGGATGTGGACAAATTGAAGAGAGTCCAGTAACAAAAATGGAGGCTGGGGCATATGACTTCTGAGGAGAGGCTGAGGGAACTGGGCTTATTTAGTCTACAGAAGAGGAGACTGAGCGGGGATTTGATAGCAGTCTTTAACTACCTGAAGGGTGGTTCCAAAGAGATGGAGGTAGACTGTTCTCAGTGGTGACAGATGACAGAACAAGCAGCAAAGGTTTCAAGTTGCAACAAGGGACTATTAGGTTGGATATTAGAAAAAGCTCTCTCACTAGGAGGGGGTGGTGAAGCACTGGAACAGGTTAGCTAGAGAGGTGGTGGAATCTCCATCCTTGGAGGTTCTTAAGGCCTGGCTCGACAAAGCCCTGGCTGGAAGCCCCTAGTTGAGAATGGTCCTGCCTTGAGAGCTGGGGGTTGGACTAGATGACCTCCTAAGGTCCCTTCCAACCCTAATTTTCTATGATTCTATGTTGCTCCAGCACACAATTGCCAGATAAGCTGATCTGTCTCACCTTGGGTGCAAAGCAACATTAAGGGCACTTATATACAAGTGTGCAGTCTGGTCCGACGTGCTGGAATTCTAGCACATCAGAGCAGACTCAATTAATCAAGTCTTCTGGAGTGTGGCAACTGGTGAGCTCCAGCAGCCTCCTGTGTCTTGTGTATCAGTGTTCCCACACTTAAAAATAGCGGTGGGGTGCTTTATCTAAAGCTCTTTGAATGCGCTTTAGTTCAAGTATCCCCATTGCCATTTTTAAGCATGGGGACACTGCTACATGAGATGCTGCGGTGCTTTAACTAGAGCGGCTCTCAGAACTGCCACCCCACCACCTCCAGAACACATGTAAAAGTCCCTTTACTTTCTTGAACCTGATGAGTGACGGAAGACTTGTGATCTATTGACTTCCTCAATTATTAACCATTTCACAATCTTTACATGATTGCCCACTACCTCTCATTTCCAGGCTGTAACTTCTCTCCAGATGTTCTGACCCATTGGCTGCAGTGGCATAGTAATTGGGGGTCTTGTTACGGTTCCAGAGGCAACTGAGTTCAAGCAGTGCTCTGGACTCCTACCAAAGCTGTCTGCCATCACAAGCAGATTCAGGATGTATTAAAGGATAGTGTGCTGTGCAGCCCCTGAGACCATGGGGGAATTGTAATGAGGTGTGGCTGGAGCACCTAGAAAGGTAGGGGACACTAGGGAGCGAGGCAGGGAACAGGCACGTGAAGGGGGGGACCTTCCCCTGCCACAATCCCTGCCAGCACTGCTACCACTGTCCCTGACAGACCTGGGCCAAGGGGGGATCCCTGAGCCACTCCTGCTCCACTGTAGCTGGGGATGGTTGGGAGCAGCTGTGCAGGGAGCCAGGCTCCACTTAGGATGAAGATACACAGGTTTCTCCTTCCAGCCCCTGCTCCCTGCTTGCATTACTCCCTCTATTGCACAATGCATCTCCCTGCTGGCCAGAAACAGGTGCTGGAAAGAGGATACTCTAGTGATTGTACATGCGACCTCTACTTTTCCTAGCTAAACCTGGTTCCCCTCATAGTTGCCTCCTGCAGCACAAAGCAGAAGCAGATTAGTAGCAGCTCTGGGGCTTCCCCTGTGTTTGCATCAGCCAGGGACAGTAGCAGGGGAGTACATCCTGCTTCCAGTGCTGTTCGCAGCCGGGAGGGAATACCTGCAAGGGAGAGACAGGTAGGGAGCGCATGCTGGAAGTATAAACCAGAGCCTGTGGCTGGAGCAGGGCAGGACAGGTTCAAGAGCCCACCCTGGTGCCAGATCAGCTGTGAACAAAGGCAAAAGGGGAGTGCAACAGTACCCCTTACAAGGATCCTGCACTTGATCCAGTTTTAAAAGAGGTACAGGGCTATTTGGGCTGGGGAGTCAAAGACATCTGGACATATTGCTTACCGCATCACTTCCGCATCTGATGCTGGTTACAGAACCAGGCAATCCTGAACCATGTTAGCCCAGGCTGCTAGGCCTTTTCTGCACAAGCCTATTGCTATAAATTACAGCAGTGTGCCTATAATATTGCTCAGCCTCTTTCCATACCAGAACCAAAGAATTGCCAAAGGTTGCTTATGTACATTCTTAGAGGCCTGGAACCACTGTAGTGCTAAATGCTAACTTCTGCATATTTTTATTCAGGTATAACTCAGCAATTAGTAATAAAGATGAAGGACTATTAGCTTGGTTACACACTCATTGAGTATCCCAATGCTGTATTCTCTACTCAGCCAGCAGTCTGTATGTTAACAAGGTGGAAGCTGAGACACATTATAACACGTGATAGCCAACAGGTAAAGTTTGGAATCAATTCTTCTTAACTTCCAAAAGTATGAGGAATGGGAATTAAATAGAGAAAGTATTGTAGGCATGGTGAGCTGGAGAAATCTCTCTCCCTGTGCTAATCTTATGCTAGTATTAGTGTTGAACTAGGGTCTGTTTGCCTCTGAGGTATTCATCAGTAAAACTGATACTGAAAGTAAGTGATGAAACCTTGGGGAAGAAGGAGGGTGGCAGAAATCATACAACTGGAAAGGACCAGTACGATCAACAAATCTGGTGCCTTGTCGCGGGCAGGTAGTATTGGGCTCAGACCATCACTGTTAAGAATCAGGGCTCTATTTCTACTACAGAAATGCTTAGCTTCAAATTTCAATCATTCAATCTGTCTGCTAGGCTGAATCTCCCAGATGTTTTCTGTTTCTCATTTAGGTATTTACAAGCAGTGATCAAACCAACCCTTAACCTTTCTAATAAGCTAGATAAGTTGAGTTCCTGGAATTTTGTACTATAAAGCATTTTTAATCCTTTTTAAAGTCTTTTCTAAACATTCTCTAAATTATTTATCAGCATCTTTCATGAATTGAGGACACCAGAACTGGGTACACTATTTTAGCTGCAGTCACCCAAGTACCAAATACAGGGGTAAGATGAACTACTCTTAATTTATATTCTTTTAAAATATCCAAATATCATATTATCCCTCTTAGCCATAGCATCACATTAGCAGCTCATCTTCAGCCAGGTATCTACCCTTACCCTTAGCCTTTTTCAGAAGCATTGCTCCCTAGGGAAGCCTCCCTCTTTCTGTAAGCATCATCCACAACCCTTTCTCCTAGAGGTATGATTTTACATTTGTGCATGAAAATTATTGTTTGCTTGTGGCCCTGCTTACCAAGCAACTCATATTATTCTGTATTCATGCCTGGTCTTCATTATTTTCCACTTCCCCAGTCTTTGCCATCAGCAAATGTTATCAGTAATGATTTGTTGTTCTAAACATTAACTAGCATAAAACGGAGAATTAATCCTTGTAGAATCCCACAAAAACACTCACTCATTGATTTTCTGTTTACAATTAGACCTTTCAAGACCTATCAGTTTGTTATTACTATTTAGTCTGTGCTATGGTGACTTTATATCTTCTGGTTTCCTAGTCAGCATATAATGTGGTAGCAAGAGAAGTGAAGGTAGTACTGGTGGAAGAATAGGGATAATGAACACAAACCCCAAACCAGCAAAACCCAAAGGGGATGTTGTGTAGCAGGTTGAATACATTGATTCAGCACATACCTACTGCATCTTCTACATGTGAGGCTTCTAAGGGAGTATGGAAATCCTAAAGAGTGAGGTGGTGATAAGACCTACCAGCCACAAAGATGATTTGCCAGAGTAGTGTTGTTACCTTCTGTAATGATGAGTGCAAAATGCATGTGCTTCCTTTTCATCAATGCAAGCTACCAATTGCCTCAAAAATCAAATATTTCCATGCCCTTCAACTGCCAATAATGAATGAAAGTCATTTTCTTTTTGCAGTGTTCACATGGCATTTCTCAGAGCTAGAAGCAAGAAAAAGCAGCACAATTCCAACAAGAAGTTTTCAACTAACACAGCCAGGTTTCCTTCAGAAATAGAGATGTTTTGTGACTGTTCTACTATCATTGTATCCTAACTATGGTAATTTACCCAATACCCTGATTATTGAGCATCTGCCTGCTTGGAGGTGTTTTAGTCATGGAGTTAACTGTCACCTTCATTACTTATTGAAATGCTGTTCCAGTAAAATTATTTTGACTTACAGCCCAGATTTAGATCTGGGGAAAGGAAAAGGCAAAATATTGCACTTGGTCCTATTCTATTTCCACTACTACTTTAGAAATCTAAATTAAGACTTTCCCTTAACTGAAAGCTTATTGGAGATAATAGAGGAGAAAACATATTACTAGTAGAAAGAAGTCAGCAGTGTGTTAATTTTTATATTCAAGTAGAAACCTAGAGTAATTCCACATACTTCAATAATTATGCCAGCTTTACACTGCAGTAAGATAGTGGAGTTCAACCTTTTTAGCAGTTGTGCCCCAAATTAGCTGCACAACTTCCCTAAGTGCCACTTCAATCCCTTTCCCTTGCTTGATCTGCTACTTTGCTTTCTGCTCCCTGCCCTATCTGGTGTGTGTCACACACACAGGCTGCCCATGCCACTCATGGTATCTGTGCTGCATATTGGCTGCCCCTGCACTAAGAAATCAGAATTGGTTGCTAAAGGACATCCATCTAGATATCCCTTGCTCATTATCATCTGAAAGCCTAAGTCTACATTTGAAGTCGTAAGTAAATAACTTTCAAAGATAAATTACAGCATTTTTAGTCACCTGTTTAATAACATTGACTGAAATGACTCCACAAACCATCACAGCAGAATAGTGCATGACATGCAGCCTGAAATTAAGTGCCGTATAATGGATGCCAGCAGCCAAAGCAATCAGAATTGAGGATGTAACTCATTAGCACCCCTGCCTTTTCCCAACATCCATATACTCCTGTGCTGGAAAAAGCAACATGCTACTCTTGATAAAAACAAAGATGATAAAATGTATTTATTCTTAATGTCCCTTTCACTATCATGCCTAACACAGCTTTTAAAAATAAAAAAATACTTTTTTCAGAGACTTTACAACTCTCCTTTAAACCTAAAGAAAGTGCGATCAGAATCTCTTGATCAAGAGATGCACCATACATTGCAGAGGTAGATGGAAAATTGATACAAACCCCACATATTGTGATCATGACTGTAATAGATAAGGTAAAAGATTTATTCAAACAAGAAAATCCACTGATTTCAGTAGAACACATGAAAAATTACAATACGTCCATAGCATCAGCAACCTACCACAGCACATTATGGCAGACCTTTTAAGTTTTTAGTTTGAGGCTTATGTTACTTTATTTTTCAATAATTGCCTGATGCATGAGAATAGTCCTTACAAAGAAAACTGCAAATATCAATCATAAGTTTACACCAAGAAGTCTTTCACAGTGTTTATCCCTTCCTTGTAAAGGTACTGAAAAGGCAAAGTGCAGCAAGCATGTGAGACCAGTGAAGCATGCTGTCTGTACCTTAAAGGAATAGTAAAAGGATCCCCATTCCTCTTCCTCCACCACTTCAGTGAAAGTCACTGTTTCTGTGCAAGTTACAAGGGTAAAATCCAGCCAGTCTGTACTTCCATTTGAGCTGCTAATGGCTTCTGTAAAACTGTCTTGCATTTCTAGGTTTTGTTTGAGCTCTCTTGGTTCTTCTTGAGGGAAAAAAAACAACCCCAAATCCCCCAGTTAAACAGATCCAAGCTCTTTGCAGAGGAGTGCAGCAGCAAATACAGCTTTTCTGCTCCACCACTGTCTACCACGGGTATCAGGGCTTCAGTGCAGCTGAGTAATTCAAAACCAAGCTAGAGTCTTTCCTGGAAGCTGTACTGTGATACAATTCAGACACCAGCTGTCCACACACACTTCTCCATCAGCTGAAGCAGCAGCCAGTAACGTCACTACTAGCAGCTGTGGAATCATATCTAAGCCTCGCTAACTCCAGACTGTCTTGCCTCCGCAGATTCCCACTATAAGGGTCAGGACTGGCTTTAAACATGTTAACATCCATGAGGTATTATACCTCAGCAGGCTGGCTATTTCTTGCTGCAGTTTAGTTTCTTATCTTAGTGCAGCTCAGTCTGACTTGAGGAAAATAACTTTATAATTACAGTATGCCCATAGGAAAGTGGCAACATGCTATCCTGCATAATACAAGACCCTTTAGGGGTTTTTGTTGTTGTTGTTGTTGTTGTTTGGGGCTTAAACTATTTTGCCTCTGAATAACTGCCTGACTCACAAAATAGTCCTTACGTAGATAATCACAAATATCAGGTAGGCATGGGTAGCACGACACTTTTAATTCAATAAATACATTGTCTTAGACCCTTCCTTGTAAAGCTACTGAAAGTGCAAAGTACTACAAGCTTGCCCCAAACAAACTGATTCTTCATTGTATGAAAGAGTCCCCCACGTGCTACCTTTGGAGTCTGGGTCCCAGCAAGAATGCTGCTATCAGACTAAGTACCAGCACCCACCTTCCCTAGGCCTGTTAAGAAATCTAATCATGTCTCACTCTTTGATCCAATTGGCTTGATTGGCTGTAGTCACCCTTCTTGGACGATCATCTGGCCATGTGACAGAAGCATCCTCCAGTTGCATAGCATATATCCCAAGGAATGGCACAACATTTATAATTGATACATCTCTGAATTATGAAAAAATCTGTACAGAAAATGAAAGCGAGAACAAAAGCCTCAAATCACAGGTCAGTCTAAGGATGCTCAAATTGGTATAGTTTTCACCTTCCTCCATCCCAACAGGATCACATACAGCACTGGGAGGGCTCAGTTCTGATCTCGGTTACATTGTATAAATGTTGATTTTTTTTTTCCCCCATAGGCAATGGTGTTACTCCAGACTGACACCAACATAAATAAGATTATGCACCTTCCCCTCACTCAGACAAAATCTGATCCTTTATCATAGCATAAATTCAAAAGCATTTGTTCCAATAAAGTTATTTTGCTTTTACCCCGGTAAATTTAGAAACAGGATTTGGTCTTTTTACATTCCTACATACCAATGTGTAGTTTCTCTTTCCTTACGCAACAATTGCTGAATCCAGCCCTGCATTTTGAACTGATTTTATAGCTTAGCAGAAGAAACAGATTATTTTCTTCTTCACGTATTAGTCTTTTTTGGGGTTGCATACTCCTTTAAGTGTGTTATACTGCTCTAAACTCCTATCAGTCTATGTTATAGATAGTAAAAAAAAAAAGTAGTAGGGTCATTACAACAGCAGTATAACCTTTTCAACAACCTGTGGGATATTGTAGAATTGTTCTCCTGTTTTTCATTTTTCTTTCTTTATACATTTCTATTTCTCCTTCCCCTCTTTCTGATTTACTATTCATCCTCTCACATAACTCCAAGAGTTCACTGGTTTGAGAAATTCTGTTGTATATATTAAAGAGGGATCTCAAGTAGTGAAGTGAAGGTTTGAAATTGTCTTCCAGGTAGAGAACATTATACTCCAGCTCTTCAATCAGATGACTGACTTTTTTACATTCAAGTAGTTACAGAAGCACGCACTTGGAGGCAAATTTCTCCCCCACCCCCTTCCAAGATACTGAATAAGATGAGTACAATCTTATTTGATTAAGGGAATAATAATATGAAATGAAAAAGAAATTTTCCAATATGAACAAATATAAAACAGGGTGCTCCATTAAATTATAAACCTCTGCCATGAAGAGAGTGAGGCAGGGAGAGGAACAACTACTACCTTGTTTTACCAGCTAAGATTTTTGACTGTGAGAGATTTGACTGCACCAAAACATTTGGATCTGGTTCTGGATTTTGAATCAATTACTCTGAAAATTTGAGCTGCCAGTCTCAGATCTTAGTTTATGCCTGTATCTTAATTTGATATAATTAAGACAGAACAAGAGGATGTAGACAAACAATGGAGTAGATTTCCCCTTTTGTAAGTCTCACAAGTCTCCTGCATGTACCTTGAATAGGATAGTGGAAAAATAGGCGTCCTGGATTCTGTGCGTGTGTTGGTGCAACGTGTGCACTAACAAAGTAATAGCAGCTGATGCACTCAAAAACCTGTCTTCTTTTACCTCTGGTCCTGATATTTAAATGCAAGATTGAAATGGGGGGCTTCCAAAACTAAAAGCATAATCTGCTATAGCCTGAGCTAAAGAGCCATGAATCTGTGACTGAAAGCTGTAATAACTGTCACCCTCACGTCTTGTCAACACCTACATACTTTAAGTCCCATTATCGGAGTATTTTCTCTGACCATTGAGAAGATGCTAAATGAATCTTTCAGGCATGTTGTGTTATGACAACTGGTCATAAACTGTTTGGCACTCCTACAATATGCCATTAGTGTTGTTTGACGACCTACAGAACATTCTGCTGTGTTGAAACATGCCCAAGAGTGTTGCTTGTTCAGATTGCTGGTCTCTGGATAAAGCATCCAACGCCATTGAAATTTGGACACCGATGGCCTTATGACCCGTTCCTATAGCACTGAGTGCTCAAGACTGTGATTATAAAAGGCTCATCATGTAAAATCTTCCAGAAAATGGAATTTCCTTTCTTCACCCAGCTCTAGCCTGGGGTTTTCTGACCCTTGTCGGCATGTGATAACATCACTCTGATCTGTATCCACTGAAGTACACATCAAAGAGAGAGAGGGTTTTTGAAAAATGCTGATTTCAGGTCTGATTCAAAGCTTATTTGAATCAGTGTGAATGCAGCTTTGGTGCTAACTTCGTGAAACATCCACATTTAGTAGAGGAATTGATCTACTTGGAATCACACAGCACTTGCATGGGTCTACTGAAACAAAATGGCATTGTATTTTTTCCCTGAAGCTACTTAGTTGGATAAAATATACCTCTGTGTGTGTGTTTGTGTGTGTGTGTGTGTGTGTGTATAGGCATGTATGTATGTATACACATATTGTATAATATTATATAATATGTGGGTTCAACATTATATATACACATTCT